CTTATGTGTAGCTAAATATGGTATAACCTAATTTTCAACGTTTTCATTTAGCACATTTTACCAGTCACAAGCCAATTATGGGGTCTATATACTTCTTATTAGCCCCTGCAAGAGTCAGCTGCGTATCGTGCATATTTGGTTACTTAAACTGTCTTCCAGAATATGAAAAGGACAATAATTTGAATAAAAAATTAAATTTATTCACAATTTACGAAGTTTAAAGGTGATTATAATCAGCATTGTCCTCGTTGGTTTTGCAAGTAGCTATTTTTGGTATTCAGTCTACCAGCTGCCCACTCACCCGCTATATTCGCACAAAAAAGCTATAGATTCAAAGAACATTATAAACAACAAAAGTCTGGCAAATCAACACCTGGACCCAGAGGACGTTGCACCATCTTCTATACAATTACCTGGGCCTCACATCTTTTCTACTATTCAGGAGAAACATAGGTACTTGTAATAATTTGGAATTTCTCAACTTTTCAAATTAAATTACCAATCTGCAATTTACTGAGATACTCAAGCTTATACTTTTATGGGATTGATTTTGCGTTGCCCTCAACAGACCTCAATGTAAGTATCTTTAGGTGATTTACGTTTGCCGTATAGGCACTCGCGACACTTATAGTAAGCAATTTAGCATACAAACGCTTAAATATATTTAAAATCAAATTCTTTACTCGAAGTTATGGGCCATTAAACATTTTCTCTGTTTAAACCTTTACCATTTAAATTAATCGGAGTGTATTTTTGAGCAAAGTTTTGTTCAAAGTCAGCTCATATTTTAGCATTTAAGGGGGTTTGCTTGATTTCAGAATTACTCACCTATCCAAAGGATTGCCTCGTCTGACGGATTAACCACTTTGAGGCCAAAGCCTAGCGCGAAGCCCGCGAGCACTCCAGCAAGGATGAGAATCATGAACAGATTATCACATATGCAGCCCAAGAATCCTCCTCTTTTTTGTTCTTCTCCGATTATCGAACCTTCTTCTTCCTCATGAGACTGGTATTCGGGAGGCCCTTCTTCAATGTTCTTCAATGACGACATTTTGGGGTGGCTCGTAGGCTGGAAACTCTGCAAGACAGAACACTCTCTTTTATGTGTGTGGGTGTATAAAATGGGGCATTCCTGGTGGCGCACTCCAATGAGGGATTTGTTGACAGCCAAGTAATGCGCGATCTCAAATCTGCTTACTTTTTCATCGCCTAAACGCACAGCCAATAATAAACCAAAATGGATTAAAATCTGCACTTATGTTTTGCCCCACTATGCTCATATGCAACACATCATTGGTATGGATGACAGTTTACTCAATGGACTAAAGCAAGCTTTCAGAG